TTTGCTTGAGGAAGATTGTCCCTGAGCTAATATCTGTGCCAGTCTTCCTCTATCTTATATGTGGGGCGCAGACGAACCCCAGGCCGCTGAAGCAGAGCGTGCAAACTTAACCACTACGCAACCAGGCCAGCCCCAGAAAATGATTTTTTACATCCCATTTATAATAACATCAAAAAACATAAAATATTAAAATATAAATTTGACAAAATATGTGTAGGACCTGTACACTACACAACTAAAAAAACATGTTGCAAAAAATTAAAGAATTAAATAAATGGAGAGATAGATCTCATTCACAGATTGCAAGATTCAGTGTTAAGAAAGCAATTTTCCACAAATTGATCTAGAGGATCAAGGCAATCCAAATTGAAATCCCAATAAGTTTTCTGAAACTAAAAAGCTGATTTTAAACTATTTATGAAAATACAAAGGACCTTTGAAAATAAAGAACAAAGTTGGAGGATTTATACTAACCGATTTCAAACCATGTATAAAGCTACAGTAAGAAAGACAGTATGGTACTGACATAAGGATAGACATACAAATTAACAGAAGAAAAAGTCCAGAAATAGACCCACACATTTATCACAGTTGATTTCCAACAAAAATGCTAAGTAATTCAATGGGCAAAGGATAGAAAAAGGACAGGAAATTCAATAGGGAGAGGATAATCTTTCAATAAATGAGACCAAAATAACTGTGCATCCAAAAAGGAAAATAATGAACCTAAACCCATACCTCACCCCACACACCCTATGAGCCCCTAACACTAGATCATAGACCTAAATATGAGAACTAAAACTATAAAACTTTTAGAAAACACAGGAGGAAACTTCTATGGTTTGCTTTTTTCATACAACAATATTTTGGATATCTTTGTTAATATATATACATCTTTTGCATTTTTTAAAAAGGTAAGAAAAAGGACAGAGACAACTCTTAAAACTTTTGAAACAAGTCTTCATTTTTAAAATCAAATTTCAAAACTGTCAGTTCATTATCCATACAGTTATACAATCTTTCTTCAAACGAAATAAAGAAATATTCAAAGGAAAAGAACAAAAATCTTTTTTAATCTCCTTTCATATGGTTTCAGTAAGAGGAGGCTGCCTTCTAGGGAACTGCAGTTTGCCTCAATAATTATTTGTTTTTTGTTTTCTTTCCTGAGGAAGATTCACTCTGAGCTAACATCTGTGCCTATCTTCCTCTATTCTGTATGTGGGCTACCACCAGAGCATGGCTGACGAGTGGTGTAGGTCCACGCCTGGGATCCGAACCCACGAACCCTGGCCGCCAAAGCAGAGCATGCCAAACTTACCCACTATGCCACAGGGCCGGCCCTCAATAATTATTTTTGAGTGCCTTTGCTAAAGCCATAAAAAATAACATAAATCTGCCTAAGATATATTATAATAACAACTTTATTATAATAACAACCTAATTATAAGTGTAAAAAGTCATAGAAAAAAATCCACATAGCATGATGCCATTTATATAAAGTTCAAAAACATGCAAAAGTAAACAATGTTTTTTGGGGATGTATACATATAAAGTAAGATTATCAAGAAAAGCAAAGAAATGGTAGACGTATAATTCAGTATGGTGGTTACTTCTGAGGGGAAGGATGGGGAGTCTAATCAGGAAGGGGCACACAAGTTTCAATGGTATGGGTAATATTCTATTTTTTGAGCTTTATATATGCAAATTACACATTTTTGTACATGTGAAGTATTTCATAAACGTTTTTGCAAAGAGCTACATTGACATCTGAAGGTGTTTCTAATATACACACTGAAGTTGTTCCATCCCAATATAATTAACACAGATGAGAAGCATCATAGTGAACCAAAAACTACATGGAAACAATATTATCAACCATTTCTAACCCAAGAAAGCATATGCTTTGTAGAACTGAGAATATGGATTCCCTGACCTTTCCTGCTTCTTCCCACCTTTCTGTAAACCTGGCTTCCTGACACCACCTTTACCACTATGATCTGGATTAAATACCACTACCTCCAAAACATTCTGCCACTCAATCTGTCAACTTGATGGGCACTCATCCTCCTCTCAATTTCCACAACATTCGTATCACTTCCAGACCCTCATCACATTATCCTTGCATTGCACGTGATTTAACTCCTCTATCAGAGATAAGCATGTGAAGAACTACAACACTGATCACATCAGCCTGGCTCACAGAAGGCACTCAGTTTTGCTGACTACTGAATGAACAAATGAATTAGAAAATTCAGGCAATTCAGAGTGAGTTAAGAAACTGGATCTGGCCTAGTTAAAAAAATTCTCCAAAATGAGGAATTAGAAATTATACTCCTTGAAAAAGAATTTCAACATTGAAACTCTTCAAAATATAGCAAAGACATGATTGATAACAGTCAGTTAAAATATAAAACATTAAAGTGCGGGCTGGCCCCGTGGCTTAGCGGTTAAGTGAG